TACATCAAGTATGGACTGCTGGGAAAGCCATTCGACCATCCACACCACCCATAATACGATCCCTCATGCTTTTAGAAGCATTACGTTAGTGTGACAAAGGTCTTATCTAGGGTGTAATTTGCATACCTCCTTCCTCATTAGTGTTTCTCTTCAGGCAAAATAACAGTTGGCTATATCACCTGATTGATTTACATTTAAAAATAGAAATATTATCAGAATGATATTTTGCTGGGAAATTCAACTGGGATACAAAATGGTGCCTTAAATCCGCAGACTGCTTCTCAGGCAGTGCCAGGGGGCGCCGTGTCACTTCTGCAGCAGAAATGCACGCTTCCCTGGTCTCCCTTTAACACCCAGGAGCATGAGTTTGACCTGGGAGGAGCCCTGCTTTACAAACTGGAAGCCGCTGACCTCATTATTTCAGAGGGGCCGTAACTTACATGGCTTTTGCTGAGGCGTGTTTCTCAATGGGCCACTGCTTCGTGTTGTGTCTGCTGGACTCGGTCCAGTGGCCGGATGCGGCGCGATTAGTGTGGTTAGAGGTCGATGAACGTGAACATGTAGAAACACAGCTTGAGTGGCATCAATGCGCAGCTGGTTCCAATCGAATTTAAACTGTCGAAAACATACATTACTGATTTTCCATTACTAATTTTTTTTTTTTACTGTAGACAACAGATGGGAGAATGAGGGCAGAAACACGTCATATGGCATTTTGCAAACATAAGTACAGTTAAGTGCATAAGCATATACTCGCAGGCAGATCTCTGCATAGTAACGTACATAAGCATACTCGCAGGCAGATCTCTGCATAGTAACGTACATAAGCATACTCGCAGGCAGATCTCTGCATAGTAACGTACATAAAAATACTCACAGGCAGATCTCTGCATGGTAAAGTGCATAGACATACCCAAAAGCAGTACTCAGTAAATGTTATATCCTCTAGGGCAGAGGTGACCAATCTTATCTGCAAAACATCAGTGTTTATGTAGGTTTTTGGAATAACCTTTAGGTCAGCCGTTCAAACCCAGCAGTGAGGACTCTTCAGCCAATCAGTCCTCTAATTAGTGACCTAATTAGGGAGCTGCATATACAGTGGCCCTTTGCGGATAAGATTGCCCACCCCTGCTCTAGGGGCTCTAATGTGTATTTATTCCTGCTGGCATTTTGACCTCTGTGTGCATTGGCGGGGGGGGGGTCTCTCCCCATGTTATAAAAACAAAGGGCATGTGAGTTGTGCCCTATTCTGTAACGGTGGATGTGACTGGCTGCGGCATTTGGGTCGCTGCCTTTGGTGTGGGAGACAGGAGTTTGAGAGACCCCCCCCACAGAAATTACTTTTCTATTTCAGAAGTGGGATAATAACACCTACATTAGACAATCCTACAGGTCAATACTGTGCATCGTCACTCAAGCTCTGATACAAGATCAGCCCACTGGGCCTCAATGGCTTTGTGCAGGCGGCTGCAGTATACTGCCCCACAAAGGCAGAATGCAGTAACTACACCAACACTGAAGCTGGGAAAAAAGGGCTTCATAGTTTATTAACTGTCCACTCCTATGTGTAGTAGGTAGGATATTGACAAGCATTTTCTTTAAAACCGACAACGCCTGAACTAAGATATTTTATCACAAAATAAGACTGAACCCAAGAGACCCAATTTGGGTCATAGCTCATTTCTGATGAAATGTGCAGTGTTTTGTAGGTGTTTTGTAGGGCAGTGTACTTAAGCGTGAGAGGCCCCAGTTTATGTGCTATTAGCTTAGCCATCTTTGGGGTGCGAGTCCTGGGATTGCGTCTAACTCTGGGTCCTCCCAAGTCGCTGCAATGCTTTGGCCTAAATACCGACATTCTGGGTTAGAGCTAGATGTAGATCTGGGGCAAATAAAGCCAGATTATAAAAACGTAAGCCGGCTAGCACTGGATTTCAGATAATAATGCAGGTGTCATATAATCCAGTCACAAAAGGATCATGCTTTGTAGGAGCTGTTAGACCTCCAGTCTCTGATAAAAATGGAAAAAAATTTAGATGTGCTTTTTATCAGGACCTTCAGTGGCATCTCAGAAGTTATACTGAAAGTTAGCTGGCTCTAATACTGAGATGCTACTGATATCCAGAAGAGGCCCACTGGAGAGCCAATTCCAGTATAGCACAGCAAAACACGCAGCACAGGATGCCAGTATGACCAGTTCAGAGAAGCCAGTTTTACGCTACATTTTATTTATTTATCCAAAGCAATGGACAATTGGGAGGGCAGGGTCAGGCGGCCCCAGGAGCAACTAGGGGCTGAGCACTCTGTCCTGTGGCCTAGCAGTGACATCACTCTGCTGACCCTAGGATTTGAACTGGTGCCCTTCCAATCCCAGACACAGTGTCCTTAGGCGCAGAGCCACACACTGCCATTTGCACGTAGAGCGGAGGCAGCATTCAAACCCCCATCACTGGAGAGGCACTGCAGCAGTGCTGCTCACTGCGCTGCCATTCCACCCATATCTGTATAGGTTGCCCTCAAAATAAAAGCTGCATGTTCAGGTTTTGGGGATTTTAGGATTATCTTCTGTATTTAGCCGCCTAGCCGGTTTCTGTATCTGCTTCCGGAGTTTAGCAGTCACATGTACACATTTAGCAGATGCTTTTGCCTACAGCGACATAAATATGAGGCAAATAGCACATCACAAACATACAGCACAGGCAGCTTAACACGCTGTCGTGGTATAAGGTTTAAAACGGCCAGTCCGGCCATTAATAATCTAATGTGAGGCTACATGTCCTCTTTTTGGCTGCGGCGTTAATGGTAACCCCAGCAACAGCGATGCTCTGCCGGATAAGGAGAGAGACACGTATGCCGCGGCAGGCCGGGGGCCGGCGAGACGCCCACGCCAACACTGGCGCCCCCTCCCCTTTGGGGACACTCTTCGCCTGCGAGTGGGAAAGGAGGTCGAGGGGGGTTCCGGAATGAACAGTAAACGCGCCTGTTCTCCCAAGCCACTCCGCCCACCGCCTCCCACTCTGTAATTACTGACAACCAGTCAGGGAATCCCCGCAAGACCCAGATCTGTTGTTCTCCAAAGCTCTCGGCTAAAAAAAACAACCCCCACACCCCCTAAAAAGGGAACATTAATAAGGCATCTACTTCCTCAGCGTTCATATTGCAACCCCTCCTGAAAAGAGTCACACGAGATTAACACTCTGATGAAGCGGAAGATTGTATAAAACTCTCTTATTACTACTGTACGAGGCCTGACACTTATTTTGACACAGTATCTGTATAGTGTACTACGCATATGTTCATTTACAATTCACCGATCAATGACTAATACTGAATGGTATATATTGATTTGTGATTATTTTACACTGATTGCTTCTACACACAATCAAGGTGTTTCTGGGCCTATTAAGAGATAAATGACCCGTCTCGCTCCCGGGTCAGTCTACAGAACCCAAAGGCTGCTTCTTAACTCAGCTGCATCTAGTTCATACAACTTAATATTTATCATGTGGTGTAAAAATAAAGAATTCTCAACCGCATCTTAGGCCTGAGCTGTTGTGGGAATGGTCTCAAATATAGTTTTAACTATAGTCTGACAGCATTTGTGAAAAGTGTTGCAAACATTTGGTGCGTAACTTAAAATCAAAGTGCCAGCTTTCTTTCCAAATGACCAAAGCGGAGATGTTGGCAAATGAAAAGAAGGTCAGTTCCAGGCGCTGCCAAAAAAAGAGAAGATAAGCCGCATGAGTGAAAATGTATTCAATTAAAGTGAAAAGTATTGTTCTCCCAGTTTCCTTAGCAACAGGCCTTCGGTGTAATGAGGAGCACATTCCTCTGATTTTACTACAGTGTTACTATCATTTTAAAATGATCAGGAGTCTTCATCAGCTATTAAGAAACTTTGTAAATATGTTCTAGTTAAAATCTAATTTCCTGAATTTGTACAGAATGAATCAACATACAAGAAATGTTTAGTCTTGTTCTTTTGAAAAATTGATGCATCATATTATCTGCAAACTATGACATTATTAAAACATTAAATTATTAAAATAATTGCATTATAGTGCCATTGGTAAAAGACGTCTGGCATTACAGTTTGCATCACTGGCAAATGCAGATTGCTTGGAATACAGTGATTTCAGGCAAGTTCAGACTTCTAAGGCAAATTCTAATACAGACAAATGATAGATAAGGTTTCCTTTTCATACAAAAGAAACAGGGTAAGTGATTGGAAGATGGATGGATGGATGGATTGACAGTGCTGTGGAGACAGGACACCTCATTCCTGGTGCCTTTAACACAACGTGCTAATAAGTGTGTAGATATTACGCAGGTGGCTATTAGATGTCTTTACTCGCAGCAGAGTATTCCAAATCTGTGTAACTGCAATTGTTTTATCTGATGTTAACGTCTTATCACACTCATGCATTGAGTATCAATGCTGCGTTTAAGCAAAACGCCAGGGACAGCAGCATAAAAAAGTGACATCGATTCTTCATTTGCATAAAAGTTAATGACCCAGTAAAGAGCGCCACAGACCATTTTATAGGCTTAGGTTATAATATTACACTGCTGTAGCCTATGCACGAATGAATATTGCATACGGTCGCCTTGTGAAAATCATATGCCTTTCTATACGTCAAAGATAAAAGATTTTGATGGCTTCGCCTAATTATACAGATATTACACTACAGTAAGTGTGTGTCAATACAATCAAAGAGAACTTACCTACTTAGTCGTCTGACAGGAAAAGATATGCATTACAGTACAGGCAGTCACTCGACTCACTGTATCATGAAAATGATTTTTGAACTCATCAATAACTTCTAATTATCGTAATCTTATTGCATTTTACGACTTGATGACTGTTCAATTGTGTTTTTACAGTTCTTAATGTATACCACAGATACCGAACCTCCGATATGCGCTCCGAACTCAGTACCCCGCACTGCAGTGCCCGCGTCCCCACAATGTAAAGCCGGTAATAAAGGACGAAAAGCGCTTGCCTTGAGCTTCTGGACAGTCTCAGAGTCCTCGTCTCTGCACCACACCGTCACCCCTCCCTTGTTGTACCGGATTATCCATCCCTCGTGGTTTTCGCACTGCTCCTTGAAAGCGGAGAAAGCGGAATCGTCCGGGATCTGCAGCGGCATTCCGTCGGCTTTACACGGCGAGCACGGCAGCGCGGGGACCGACCAGATGCGCTTCTGCTTGTCTGTACTGGCAGGTGTATTGGGTTTTATCCAAACTATCCCTCTCCCTCAATTACTCAGTCCCACGTCTGTGTTGACGCTGTTACATAAACGGCTTCCACTCTGTGCCTGTTGGTCCTCGTAATCAATTGAAAGTGTTTTATTCCGGTTGTATTTGCGTGGCGCTTTTTGCTCTTTTAAATCCCTCTCCTGCAAACCAGATCTCGCATGCAGATAACTTTTTTTTCCTGGCCGTCTTCTCTGCGCCCTTTATAGCAGGTGCGCCGACATTACTGGTGGGTTGAGAAGAGCGCATGTCCCTTGTCACCTGTCATGCAAAAGCTATATAGGCACGGCGTCGTGTTACTATTATTCCGTTGCTCAGGTGAGGTAGTCATTCGGTCAGACTTCGTGAGGGACGCGGATCGCATGTCATGTTTGTTCTGCTACAGTGGATTTTCTTTCTATGGTTATTTGTTTGGCCGCTTTTGTGAGTAGCTGCAATATAAGTACACAGCTCAGGTTGCGCGACGTGTCTTTAGACCGACTCTCGCATCACTGGTCATTGTCCCACTGCCTCTCATTGCCGTTTCTTCTGTTTCTCCGCCAGAAAACCTATCCCATGGGTTGGGGGGTTGGGGGGGGGGTTAATGGCGTCGACGTAGAAGGACTCCAGATCTCAGCTAGCTTCGGTTATCCGACGCCCAGCGTCGGTCCAGGCTGTAGTTCACAATGGGGCGCTTTCAGGTCCCGTACTGATCGTAGGTGCTGAGCTGTGACACTTGCGCACCAATCCAGGTGAAATAGGACACGTCCCGGGACCTAGAAGGTTGCATCTCCGCATACCATGTGTTTATTCAAGCATTTAATCGGTAATGCACATTCAACGGGACTTATTTTATATATCGGCATGGACCTATTGTCGTGCTTAGCATCTGCTTTTACGGGTCGTTATATCAAGATCATTATTTATTAGCAGTTGATGGAGATGAGAAACATAAATAGGTCGGTCTACGGCAGTAACTGAAAAACTACGCAATGCATACACATTCCTGTGGATACTTAGGAGGACCATTGAATCTTAAATGATTTTTTCCAAATGCTAATTTGCAAAATTGCTTGCTGATCACTTTTATGAAGCTTTTGCATTTAAAAAAGTTATTAGTTTAGTTTAATTGGTTTTTTCATAAATTTGCGTTCTTAACCAAGATGCTACTTATCTGTTGCCGTGGTGATTCGTACCCTATTAACAAATGTGTGCTTAACTCTGGATTCTTCAGTGAAATTCCAAGGCTTAAGTTGACCCCATTGGGGATGGTGACCTTAGGGCAGTCGAGAGATTTTCATGCCTTAATGATGTACGATTTAGAGCGGGGATCCTCAATTCTGGTCCTGGGGGGGACAGAATCCAACACAGTCTGCAGATTTCCCTGCTCAAACACATCTTAATCAGCTAATTACCAGGTTTAGTAGGTTTGTCTGAGAAGGGAAATCTGTAAACTGTGTTGGAATGTGGCCTTCCAGAACTGGAACTGGGGAAATCTTATCTAAAGCTATGTTGTCTGTATAGCTTGAGCTCCTGGATCTCCGGGGCTGTTAGAGGACTATGGATACCCTCGCAGATTCACTTTATAGGTGCCGCTGAATACAAAAATTATACAAATTTTACTGTGGCATACAACCCCCCCCTGCAAGAAGCTGGACTACAATCAATGAAAGATACCAGGAGGAACAGGTGTGCCCAGTCTGGAATAGGGTTACTGGGACCCGCGCCTGAAACCAAGCCTGGGGGTGGAGGCTGCCAGCAAGCAGCTGGGTGGCCGGGCCACCCACAGACCCCGGTCAGGCTCGGCCCGAAATGGCCACGTGGAGCCAACTCACAGTCTCACCACCCACAGGGTGAAAGGTGGAGTTTTGGGTTCAGTGTCACTTGGGCAGCAAGCTTGAGCAGCCATGTCCAGGATGGATCGGACCTTGGCAGCAGTCACTGGCTTCTGGAAGACACCCGAGCTGTGCAGGAGATAGAAAGGTAAGGGATAGATACAACCAACCTGACCTTCACACACAGTCCGGAACCTGGAACTAGACCTCTTGATCTCTGCTACTCTGGAGTTCCTCATGGTGAAAGACCTCAGGTTGATCTGAGTTATGCAGCGGGGTTTTTTTTTTCCAGTGGACAAAAGGACTCTGTGGTCCTACTGGGAGACTTTTATCCTCACATAGAGAAAAATGAAGGAGCATGACTGGGAATAATGGCCACCCAGATCCAATCCCAAGTGATTAATTGTTATTGTACTTTCGTTCTAGTCATAGATCATCCATAACAAACACATTTGATGCGTTAGGAGGAGGACGCAGGACCTCGTTCAGGCGGAGTAGGCAAGTCCTATCCAGCTCTGGAGATACTGTCAGGAGACAGAAAGGACGCTCCATAAGAATTTCCTTAACCCTGTGTTAAAAACTTGTACTGGATCTGAGTCTGTCCATGCAGATGAAGTCACTAAGGTGGTTAAAGACCTCTAGTGGAAAGGATGCATGGGTAGATTAAATCTGTCCAGATATATTGAAAGCACTGGATGACTGGGGTGACATGGTTGATACTTCTCTTCAACGTTGCCTGGATGATGGGCGAAGTTCCTCTGGACTGGCAAACACGGGTGGTGGTCCCAGTTTTCAAAATGGGGGAGCGGAGGATCGAGGATCACTCCTCTCACGGAAAGTCTGTGCCTGGGAGAGGAGACTCTGTCTAATAGTCACAGCTAGGATGCAGATGGAGCACTGAGGATTCACAGCAGTGTGATATACTAATACAGCTTAGATGTGCACACTCTGCAAGAGGTGCTGCAGGAGTATGGGTTGGGAAGTAATATCCCAAAATTCACCAGAAGAGGGCACCTGTCGACCTTTATAAATTCTTGTGGTAATTATGAGTTCTGTTAAACATTGTTCGATTTTCATATGCATTTCAAAATGTTTCATAAATTTGCCCAAGTGATGTTTTATCTATTATAAACCTACATGTAATTAAAATGTAACCAGTTAAAATTAACATTTTAAAATAAATTTAAATTTAAAATGTAATTATTTCCCTAATTTTAAACACATCGATGATAACCATGACAATGATAAATATCAGCTGAACACATTTCCTAGTTCAGCTTATTTTTAAAGTGCGCAAAACAAACATACAGTAATAACAGAATGTTGTGGTTTGGAGGGAACTTAAATGTAAACAGCAATTGAACATGTAAAACGCAATAAAATTAAGTATATTCTGACTATGTGTTTTAACTTTAGTATAAAAACACTTATAACTTTCAAAGAGTGGGGTACGTGTGACGTTCTGTGGAATTAATGTTTAAATTATATCAATGGTATTCCTTTGAAACAAAAGAGATAAAATGAAAATGACCATGGAACCTTTCTTAATGTTCCCTCTACCCTGTCCCATTGAATCCTTAAATGGCTGATCTTTGCATGCTTGGCGTTACAGCCAAATACTTCTGCATTGTTTAATTCCACCCTAGAACAGATACTTGGAACCCTAAAATAATATCACATTCCAATATTCTGAGATAATATATCAGGTCACTGAAATTCCTAGAAAGGTTCCCAAGAGAAGATATAACAATAAAAACAGAAAATATATGAACCAGTGGCAAACCTGTCAACAAACCCCTTGTTGGGATTTAATAATAAAACTAGAGGCTGGTTTACATTTTGTGATGTTTATGAAGCTAATTATGTCCTGCTTTGTCCATCGTCGTTTCAGCTTCTCCTTATCCCCAGACAAACAACCATAACTCCCTCTCTTTTCCATCCTGCCTTCACATTCTGTTTATTCGTCTTGGGTCAGTCTTGTTTAGTTTATTGTCCTTCCGTTGAGTTTCTGGGGCTGTGGTTATATCCTCAACACACTCATTGCGGTTATCAAGCACTGACCGATGAATCTGCAATCCATGTCCCATTGGTCATTAAGATGTGGGGGCAGGGGGATTGCAATAGCTGGCTTTGCTTTCATGAGGTTCCATTTTGGTTGTAAACAGATTGTCTGTCCGCGTTTCACAATGGCCAGTCTGCAGAGGGTCACGGTGAGCTTGGAATTAGGCAGGGGAGACCCTGGATGGGATGCCAGTCCTTCACAGGGCAAAAGCGCATTCGTACGGGTGATGACAGTTTAACGTCACATGCGTACATGTGCTTATGAGTGCAAAATTTTGCCCTGCGTTTCTTTGGATAACAGGCCCCAGGATCCGCTTACAGCGTCGACGACTCTCATCTCACAACATCTGCTTGGGGTCCATAAAGCTCCAGGCATTATTACAAGCCTCCGTATTTGTGTGGAGGAAACTACGAGTTTTTACTGGTGAAATGTGTAATGCAGGCAGCAGTTAGTGTGATGGGGGAGACCTGGGACTCCTGACATGCTGTGACATCTGGGAAGAGCAAAGTCACGCCATAAAGTAAGATGATGTAAGATGTGTAAGATGCTTTGAGTTAAGGAGTCGATAGAGCAGGATGTGTATAAACCCTTGTGTTCGGCCGCCCTGTTTTGCACTGACTTGTGTTTTGCACTTTAAGTCCCGTGAATATCCTGCCCCGTCACACCGTGGTCCTGGGGGGGGGG